TACGGTTACACAGTGAGTGACCCTTACCCTGCTGAATAAACACCGACTCTGTACAGTTATCCTTACAAATAAGGTCAAGAGATATAAAGAAGGAGTTGTCTAAACCAGCCTAGAAAACTATAGCAGACATTTAAGCATATATTTCATAACGCTTAGCAAAAATCCATCAGGGGCAAAAAGAAAGCATTGATGAGAAGAATGAACCAGAATGTGACTCCAGACCCACAGTCACATGGTTGACTCTTAACTGAATGGCCTCTCAAAGACCGAGCAAACCCCACAGTTCTAGGGCAGTTAGGGATGGCAACAAATGCTGGTCTTGCCAGTAAAAAGACAATTGCGCTGTTTGTTGGTTCCTTGGGATCTTGTTCTCTGATTCTGTCATTTGGTAAATTTCCTGCACAGTTGGCAGTATTATCTCCTCTTAGTTTTTTGTCCAATAGGAATGAATAGCCCCAGGATTGCTATAGGTGACGGAACTGTAACATGCACTTATTTTCCTGAGCAGCACTCATTTTCAGTAAATGAAAATGTCAAACATTGGCAGGTACAAAACAAACAAGGTTCAATCTCAGATATGCAAAGCTTGATAGATCAGTATGGAGATTGCCAACTCCATCATTGTGTGTTACTTACTAACCCAGTGTTTACCAAGTGACTGGGAGTTAATGGTCCGAACTGTTCCTAGGTTCTTGCTGCTTGTGTGGATGAGAGTGGGGACTTAAGGAAGATGGCCAAAGTGACGTCAGCATCTTGGAACAAGAAGTCATTCAAATGGGGTGAGCAAATAGGAATATAGCTGTGGTAGGGGACAGTATAACTGGGGGAATAGTGACTCTTCCCGAGGAGTTAAAAGGCAGTCAGAAATTTGTGTGGGTGGAATGGGTTTCAGTTCGTGGGGCAATGGCACCAGGACTGGGGTAGAAGGGAGCTGTTCTGTCGGGAGGGGCTTCATTTGAACGGTGTTGGGAATCCCAGTGAATGAACAATTAGGGCCATAGATAGGGTTTCAAACTAATTACAGGGGAAGGTGGGTTTGGGAGAGGAGAAAATGGCAGATTTACAAGATAGTTACTCAAACAACGATACCCAGAATGGGACATAAAGGGACAGAGTGTACAAGCACAGAAAAACAGCAGTAAATAGGATTTAAAAGGGGAAAAATGACAGAAGCCAAAATTCATCTTTCTTTACTTGAACACTTATAGCATACAGAACAAAGTAAATGAATTAACAGCAAAAATACAGGTTAATGAATACGATCCTTATAGCCAGTACAGAGACATGGTGAGATAGTAGGAACTGCCGATGCTGGAGTCTGAGATAACAAGCTGTAGAGCTGGACGAACACAACAGGCCAAGTAGCATCAGAGGAGCAGGAAAGCTGACGTTTCGGGTCCGAACCCTTCTTCAGAAAATGGTTACTAGGAGGTCAAACGCACAGATGACACAAATCACTGGTGGAAAGGCCAGCTGTGTGAGGGATATAAACAGGAGTATAGAGAGAGAGATTGATTGGTTAAGTAAGCAGGCAAAAAGTTGGCAAATGGAGTATAATGTGGGAAAATGTGAAGTTGTTCACTTGGAAAGGGGGAACAAAAGAACAGAACATCATTTAAATGGAGAAAAACTGCAGAAAGCTGCAGTGAGACCAACTTAAGACTGAGATCAGGAGGAATTTGTTCTCTCAGAGGGTTTAGAGCCTTTGGAACTTGTTGCATCAGAGAGATGTGGGGACAGAATCCTTGTGGATAGTTAGGGCCGAGATAGATTCTTGATCAGTCGGGGAATCAATGGTTACAGGGAAAGGACAGGAAAGTGGACATGAGGAGTGTCAGATCAGCCATGATCCAATTGAATGGCAGAGGGGGGTGCTGAAGGCCCATTCCTGTTCCTGCTTATGGTCTTCTTATGGATATGTAACTTTTTGAAAGGATAGGCAGGAAAGAATGGAGGGGTAGCCATGTTAGTTCAGGATGGAATAAGTTTGATAGCAAGAAATGATCTTGAATTGGAAGATGCAGAATCCAAATGGGTGCAGGTAAGAAATAAAAACAAGACAAAGCTACTGGTAGGAGTAGACTAGAGGCCCCCCAACAGTAACTATACTGTAGGACAAAGAATAAATCAGGTTTAATGTAAAAAAGACAGTACATTAAATATAGGTGACTTTAATCTTAATGTAGATTGGGAAAATCAAACTGGCAGAAGTAGCTACAAGGAAGCATTCATGGAATGTTCAGGACAGTTTTCTTGCACAATATGCTATGGATCCAACCAAGGATCAGGCTATTTTGAATCTGGTAACATATAATGAGGCAGGTTTAAAAACAATCTCAGAGTAAAAAACCCCCTAGGAAACAGTGACCATAACATGGTGGAGTTTAGTATTCAGTTCGAAAGTGAGACATTTGGGTTGGAAACAACTGTGCTCAGCTTAAATATGAGTAATTACAAAAGAAGGACGGTAGAGTTGACTGGAGGGGATTGGGAAAGGTGGTTAGCAGGAAAGGTGGTTGAGGAAAAATGGCAGACATTTAAAGAAATTGCTTTATGACTCACAGCAAAGTAATATCCCAGTGAGGAAGTCACTACAGAGATAGTGGATGCCCAGGTCATAATCTCCCAGGAATCTTCAGATTCTGGAAACGTCTCAGAAGATTGGAAAACAGCTAATGTAACACTTAAAAATGAGAGGGCGATTAAATAAAAAACACTGGTAACACAGACAAGTTAACACAACATCTATCATTGGGAAAACGGTGGGTCTAACATAAATGATTAATAGCAAGTCATTTAGAAATACTAAACGCTATCAAGGATAGACAATATTTCTTCATGAAGGGGAAATCATGCCTGAAAAATTTATTAGAATTCTTTGAAGTAACAAGCCAGATAGATAAAAAGGAATAAGTAGCTGTAATATATTTGTATTTCCAAAAGGCATTTGATAAGGTTCCACACATTAGGCTGCTTAATAAGGCAAGGTCCAAGGTAATGTGATAGTATATTAACATGGATAGAGGATTGCTGAATTCATAGGAAACAGAGAGGTGGGCTAAAGAGGGCATTTTCATGCTGCCAACCTGTAACAGTTAGTTACAAAATATATGAATAACTTGGAAAAGGAAATTGATTTTGTGTCAGCCACAAACTTGGCTATAATACAAATAGGTGGAAAGGCAAGCGGAGAGGATAACACAAAATCTACACAGGGATAGAGACAGATTAAGCAAGTGGGCAAAAAAGCTTAGCAAATGGAACAATGTGGGAAAATATGAGATTATGAACTTTGGCAGGAAGAATGGAGGAGTTGAATATTAATTGAATGGAGAAAGACTGCAGAAAGCTGTAGCACAGAGTAATTTGGGAACTCTCATGCATAAATCACAAAAAGCTACCATCCGAGTTCAGTCAGTAATAGGAATGCAAATGAAATGTTGGCATTTATTTAAAAGGAAATGGAATATATATAAACAGGGACATCTTGCTCAAACAATATGAGTAAGACCACAGCCAGATTACTGTGAACAGTTTTGGAGTCTCTTATCAAAGGAAAAATATCCTGGCATTGGAAGCAGTCGAGAGAAGGTTTATTCAGCCGATCCCGGGTATGGAGAGACTGTCTAATGAGGAGATGTTCAGTAGGTTGGAGCTTAAAATGATGAGAGGCAACCTTATTGAAACATATAACATTCTTAGGGGCCTACCACAGTAGATATGTTCAGGCTGTTTCCTTTTGTGGGAAAGTCTAGCACCAGAGGGCATTGTCTCAGAGTAAGGGGTCATAGCTGCTGAGCTGCCTGGTTATAGTTCAGACATTTTGTCACCATGCTAGGTAACATCATTAATGCAGCCTCTGATGAAGCGATGTTGTTCTACTCTGCTTAGTATTTATGAGATCAGGTCTGTTGAGGTGTTTTGTGTCATTTCTGGTTCTTTTTTCACAAAGGTTTGTATATGGAGTCTAATTCCACACATTTATTGATTGCATTACGGGTGGAGAACCAGGCCTCTAGGAATTCCCGGGCATGTCTATGGTGTTGGCTTGAGCTAGGATGGTCACGTCGTCTCAGTTAAGTTGATGGCCTTTATTGTCAGAGTGTACTCAAATGAGAGAAAGTCGGTCATGTCGTTTAGCTGCCAGCCGGTGTTCGTGTATCCTGATGGCTACTTTCCTTCCTGTCTGGCCGATGTAATGTTTTTGGCAGGCCTTGCACTGTATTTTGTGCACTACGTTGGTCCCGCATGTTGTAGGTATGGGGTCTTTGGTCCTTGTGATTGTTTGTCATAGTGTGGCTTTGGGTTTGTGAGCTATCCTGATTCCTAGTGGTCGTAGGAGTCTCGTTGTCAGTTCCGATATGTTGTTGACATATGGTTGTGTGAGATTGTTGACTTGCTCGCTGAGCTGGCTTGTTCTCGTTCAGACGTTTCATCACCATGCTAGGTAACATCATCAGCGAGGCTTCCGATGAAGCAAAGTTGTTCTACTCCGCTTGGAATTTATACTGTCCGGTCTGTTATGGTGAGTGCTGTCATTTCTGGTTTTGTTCTGTATGGGTTTATATAGGGGGTTACCTTGTCCCAGTTAAAGTGATGGTCATCAGCTAGCAGCAAAACAACACAATGAACTTTCCTTAATATCAGTACACTCAGACAATGAAGGCCATTAAAGTAACCATAGTAGCCCAAGCCAAACATAGACAAGCACAGGAATTCCTAGAAGCATGGTGCTCAACTCTTAATGTGCAATCAACAAACATATAGAATTGGACCCCCTATATAAACCCATACAGAACAAAACCAGAAATGACAGCACTCACCATAACGGACCGGACAGTATAAATTCCAAGAGGAGTAGAACAACTTTGCTTCATCGGAAGCCTCGCTGATGATGTTACCTAGCACGGTGATGAAACGTCTGAACGAGAACAAGCCAGCTTGGCGAGCAAGTCAACAACCTCACACACAACCCGAGCTACAGATCTTTGTTAAAACTTTAAATATGGTAGAGTGGCCAGTGTATTAGGTTGTATTGTGTCTTCTTGGTCTTGCCTATCAATAGGCATCTGCGGATGAAGTTTGTGGGGCATCCATTGATAGTGAAGACCTTGTATAGGTGCTCTTCCTCCTTCTTGTGAAGTTCAGGTGCGTTGTAGTGGGTTGCAGCCTGTTTAAATAGTGTCCTAACGCAGCTTTGTTTGTGGACGTTGTGATTGCTGTGGAAATTGAGGATTTGGTCAGTGCAGGTTGCCTTACTGTATACTGTGGTTTGGAATTCCCCGTTCATCATTCGTTCTACCCTGACGTCTCAGAACGGAAGTTGATTCTTGTTTTCCTGTTCTCTTGTGAATTTGATCCTGGTGAATATGTTGTCGATGAGGTAGAGTGTCTCTTCTAACCTGGTGGGTTTAATGATTACAAATGTGTCATTCATGTATTGTATCCACAGTTTTGGCTGTATGGGGGGATTGGGGGGGGTGGGGGGTGCGGTGGGGGGATGGCGGTGTTGTCCATTCCAGTCTTTGCATGACTGTCTCTGCAATAAATCCTGTGAATGGCGACCCCATTGGTGTGCCATTAATCTGTTTGTATACTTGACTGTTAAAAGGTGAAGTGTGTGGTGAGGCATAGTTCCAGTAGTCTGAGTAAGTTGTCCTTGCTGATGGAGCTGTCGGTCAGCGCTCCTGTTTCCTCTAGTAATGTGGCCAGTGTTTCTTTGGCTAGTGGAATATCAATGGATGTGAATAGCACTGTAACGTCAAAGGATATCATAATCTTGTCGTTGTTGATTTTGATGGTCTGAGATTATTAAGGAATTCCTGGGTTGAGTGGACGTGACTATCCTCGCTCAAGGCAACCTTAGTCACACACGGGAATTCCTGGATGCCTGGTTCTCCACCCATAATGTAATCAATAAACATGTGGAATTAGAACATATATACAAACCCTTGCAAATCGAAAAGAACTGGAAATGGCACAAAACACCTCAACAGACGGGATCATATAAATACCAAGCAGAGTGGAACAACATCGCTTCTTCGGAGGCTGCACTGATGACATCACCTAACATGGTGACAAAACGTCTGAACTGTTACTAGCCGGCTCGGCGAGCAAGTCAACAACCTCATCCACAATCCGAGCTACAGATCTTCATGAGAACCTTAAGGGGTCATACATTTAGGATAGAGATGAGGATGAATGTCTTCTCTCAAAGAAGGTTGTAAATCTGTGGAATCCTTTACCACAGAGGGCTGTTGATGCTGAGCGAGGCTGATAGAAACAGTTTTTTTTAAATCAGTAAGGAATTCAAGGGTCACGGGGAGAAAGGCAGGAAAGTGGAGTTAAGAATTATTAGAGCAGCCATGATGCCATTGGAAGCAGAATAGACTGGATCAGCTGAATGGCTCACTTCTGCTCCTACACCTTATAGGTCACTACATTGAGATTATCATATCTGAACTCACTTGTATCTTAATCCTAAATTTATACAATTCTTCCCAGATGGAACTACCACCAGTGTAATTACTGGCCACCTTGCCTTGTACTGGCCAGATGTGCTAGCCACTGCCCACACACACACTGGGCCCTGAGTCCATTACATTGCTCTGGGTCTGGAGTCACATGGGGAAAGGCGACAGATTTCCCAAAGCTGGGGTTTTATGACAATCCAATAGTTCAGTCACCGAGTTGTTTAGTTGCAGATTGATTTACCAAATCTCCAGATAATAGTTTGAACTCTTATCTCCGAATTGTTTCTGCTACAAGTCTAGACACAACCACTGCTCTGAAGCTGGAGTGCATTCAATTTAAAACCAAACTCATTGAGATCGTGGTGATCTCTAATATTAACATAAACTGTATCTTAACAATACGCCTCTATTATTTTCAGTAATTCTTAAGATAAAAGAAACAGCTGCAGATGACAACTTTTTGGAATGTTGGTGAAGTGATTTCTCCGGGCTGGGAACTTGGTTTAACATGGCCCGGGAGGGAGAGTTTCACTGAGCGGGTTGGGACTGTTTGCTTCCTTTAACACTACGGCCAGATCCAGTCAGAGAATCAAAACTTCGACATTCCCTGTCCCTCCAGCAATTCGCTCAAAAAACTCAGCCAACTACTGAGGAACATTTTAAAGATACCCTTCTCTCACTTGGACTGACTGCTCCCTCCCCTGGAATTGACAGGGAAAGGTTCCTGCTGGATCCCAAAATGGAGCAGATTGCTAGCTCCGAGCCCTGTTGCCACTTCCTGGTCCCTAAACCTGTGCCACACACTCACCTGGGAATATCACGGCCAGGGCCAGCAGCCAGAGTGGGCTCTGGGAACACATCGGAAGCTGCTAATCCTAGTCCCCTCTCCCAGTTAGAAACGTGGAGAGCAGCAGGTGAGAGGCGGAGCAGGACAGTATATTACAGAGGGGCTGGTCTCACTCCCAACTCCAGGGCACTGAGCCAAGAGGTGGGGCCACACATTTAAAAGGTCAATGCACAACTCTTCCCCACCCCAACTCTTTACCACCGTCAGTTTCACTACAGCACTGCTCCCTGGTCGCTGCACTTGGCTTTAAGAACCGCGTCCTACTTGATTTCAGTAAAAATAATATTGTACACCACAAATTATAATTAAATTTTAATCAGTGTAATGTCATCGAATAAAGATGAGCAGAACTCAGACGGAAAAAAAATAAAGTTAAAGCTGAGCTTGGCGTTAAAGGGAATATGAATGGAACATGATTAAGAAAGAAATAGATTTCTAGAGGCTAGAGATGTTAAGAGAAGGGTTAGTGTGGTGTGGAGATAAAGGATCAGTCATGATGTGATGAAAGACAGAACGGGCTGAATAGGGCCGAATGGTTTACAGCTGCTCCTATTTTATCTGCATCAAGGAATGTCAGCCCAGGTTTCCCAGTAAATCTGTTCCAGAGTACATGGTGGGATGGTTTCAGAGAGTGGTCAATAATTTAGACGAAAGAATTTAAAGAATCATCAATGATATCACATCCTGGACCTGTGTACAAGAATCTGACAGCAAAATATTGAAAAACAGCATTGCACAAGGATCGAACCCTGGACACATCCAGAGACACACACTTGATTGGAATCGGAGCTACATTCCCCCATTAATCAACTAACAGCCAGATTGAGTCGTGAGGCTTAACCTGCACACTTGACAGGTCTTCATTAGGATGCGACATGCAATAAAGTTTAAATCGTTGTTTCAATGCTGGATTGTCCATGAGATTTCTTCATAAATCACTGAATTAAAGGGAAATTGTGGTGATTTACCAACAGAAAATTCAGCTATGGCAACGCCCCACCCCCCAGATTTGTGTGTGTGTGTGTGTGCGTGTGTGCGAGGGAGTCAGTGAGTTTGTGTGTAAGTCTGTGTGTGGTATGAGTGTGAACGTGTGTCCAAATCCATGTGTACGAGGAATGGGTATGAGGGTGATTGTGGGTATATGTAGTGTGTGTGTGAGGTGTAGGTGTGAATGTGAGTGAGGGTGTGTGTAAGT